TACACTGTAAAGAAAGAAATGTTTAAAGTTTAAAAACAATATGTTCTTGTTTCTTTGGATGAATCCATGAAAAATACTAAAGCTAAGAGAAGAATGGGTTATTGAATGTACTTCAACGTCATGAAGAGTTTTTTCCTTCCCTGCTGTGGACCCCTCTCTGAATGATTGACAGGTCAAAGGCCAGTTGTCAATTAAAGTTCAGTAACAGCTCCTGTTCTCAGAAAGATTTTATAGCTTCAATAAAACTGTACAAAAATCAGTTGTAGCTCAGTTTCTGTCTTTTTAACGGCGACTTTGATGTTTTTGACCCTTCTCTGCCCTCAGTTTTCCTGGAAACGCTGGAAGTGTGTGGAAATGAAAATAAAGATGGGTGTAATTCTTCAGGGGCTCTTGGTGTCGTTCACCCTCCTGTTGGTCTAAAATAATCACCTCGCTCATTCAGAACAGTTTCCTGTTTAGAAACAAGTTTTAAACGTTTTTATCCACAACAAGCAGGACCTAACGAGAGGCAGAATGATCACTTCGTTATTAAAAATCAAAGTGCTATTTATTGTCATGGTACTGTTAAAACAACACAATGTAAAAATTTAAACGCTACTCTGTTCAGATGTGCATACTAAGTAAATACATTTAAAAAGAACCCAACCCGACAAATTAACAGTAATTACAGGTCCGAACCTGAACCAGAAACACAACCCCATGGACAATTATTTAAGCTTTGACTGCTTATAGTTATTAACGGTCGGCGGATGTGCATGGCTGAATAAAAGGGGCAGAAGATCGGAGCTGAGGGGGTGTTTGACATTTCATGGCCTTCAAAGAGCATTAAAACCCTGCTTGTGCCTGCATTCTGCATTATTCAGACACGGACCCTGCTCTGACATGTCTGCGGCTGAACGTCCATTTGGGCGAAGGGTCGTTGCCTGACAGTAGTCTCATCTGAAGCTTAACTGAACTTTATTTTACCTCTTTCAAGGTTGGTCAGCTCGCGGTGAAATGGCCGCATATGGCAAGCCATGTTTCCATATAATTGGATTGCGGCTGATCCGCTGACGCAATCAAAAGCCCGACACCGACCCGGCCCGCCCATCCAGCACATTATTATGGCCCAACCCGCTCCGAATTCAGGTCAGGTGGGGCGGGGCCGGGCGGGGCTGGGCGGGGCTTCACCCTTAGAAATGACAGCTCTACTGTATTGCTGTTGGATAAAAACTGGGGTTAAATCTGGTGGTCCAGTAGCACCTCTCAAAGATGGAACAAATGATGACCAGGGTGAGTGCAAACCTTAGCTGTAGCTGATGCCAAGAAGAAACAAAACATCTTTCTCCTGCTAACTGCTGAGTACTCATTCATCTCCGGGAACAAAAAAGAAAAACAGCCATCAGAAGAGCAGGAATGTAGGAGGAATAAAACATTCTGCTCCCCGACCCACAACAGCTTCGATTAAGCTTCAGTATGAAAGTTAGCATGCACTAACACATCTCAAAAGATCTTACAGTATCCCACAAAACCCAACCCCATCTCACAACATATCACAAGAACACACAATATCCTGCACAGGCACAAGATCCCAAAAGATTTAACACAATCAGACAAGATCTCTGAATATCCTACAAGATCTCATAAAGCCTCACAATAACTCTCAAGAACTCACAAGATCACACAAAGTCTCTCAATGTCTCACATTATACCTCAAGTTCTCACAGGGTCTTACAAGACTCAAGATCTCATGAGTTCCCGCATGATCTCATAAGATCAAAAGAGGTCTCCTAATTTGTTCATAATTTTATTTAAAGCTTTGACCAACTCAACACTGACTCGTCCTTTTTCTAAAATGATTTGAGTCTGAACTCTGACATGCAGATGACATGCACGAGGACTGAGGACTGGTTCTTTGTTTGCGTTTAAGGGTGCATTCACACCAGCCCTGTTTAGTCCGCTTTAATCAAACTCTAGTCCATTTGCCTGCAAAGTCCGGTTTGTTTGGGGATGTGTGAATGCACAACCAAACTCTAATACGGACCAAAAAAGTGAACTCTGGTCCATCTAAAATCTGGTCAGCCAGAAGATCGGCTCTCTGGAGGAGCCTTAGGGTGCATTCACACCAGCCCCGTTGTCCCAAACTCTAGCCCGTTTGTCTACGAAGTCCGGTTCGTTTGGGGAGGTGTGAACACGCCATCGAACTCTGTCACGGAACAAAAAGGCGAACTCTGGCCCAGTCTAAAACCTAGGTCTCAGTCTGGTAGAAGGAAACTCTAGCACGGTTCGAGTACAGTGTGAATGCAATCAGACCGGGCACCGCTCCGCCAGCAGTAAGTGGAACTACAATGAGAACAGGAAGTGGACTACAACGCAGGGCATTCTGGGTAAATACCACCAAAACAAACGCGCGTTAACATTAGCGGAAGAAAATGGCTCGTGGTCAGACGTGGAGTGACGAGGAGATAAAGGCCCTCATACAAGTATGGTCAGACGAAAATATTTTGCAGTTACTTGTTACAACTCACAAGAACAATGAGGTTTACAGGCTAATTAGTTTGAAAATGGAGAAGTTGGGATTCCTTCGCACAGCTGAACAGTGCGAAGGTCGAGTACCTAAATACCTAGGTCTCAGTCCGGTTGAAGTGAACTCTGGCGCGGTTCGAATGTAGTGTGAATGCAAGTGAAATTACTGAACAGAACTCCTAAAACCGCTAAAATTTGACTCCACTCCGTTTTTGTTTTTATTTCCAGAAGAAGAAGTGTCTTCTTCAGAGGTTTTAGTGTCGTTTCTTTCAGTAGTTCTTGGTGCAGCGCCACCACAGGCGAGGGGGGGAACAGGTTGGCTCATTGACTCAGTGCAGTGTGAACCGCACCAGCTGAAATGTAAATAAATGTTCTGAATTTTGGTCCCCAAACAAACAGAGTTTACTGGACTATCAGATGTAAAACACCTTTACAGACTTATGGTGACATTATTTACATGAACGCTCCTACAAGCACCCTGCAGATGGTGGACGCTGCCTATCACAGTGCACTAGATTCATAACTGGCTGTAACTACCGTACCCACCACTGCACCCTGTATTTACTGGTTAACTGGTTATTATCTACACATAGACTCACTGGTACATTTTCATCTTTAAATCACTTCTTGGTCTGCTGCCTTCAAACATCTCTTTCCACATGTCATGTCATCAGTGCAGTTACAGCGTCGCTCTCAGGACATCATTACCTGCAGTGTCCCCTCAGAGCGGACTGAACTAGGCAAAAAGGCCTTCTCTTACTCTGCTTCTGTTTCCTGGAGCACCTTGAAAAAAGATCTGAAGTTGTCGACTGTCCTCTCTAAAGGATTTTAAACAACGGTTAAGTACAATGTAAAAATCAGCGCAGTCATGTTCCTGTTTTTAGTTTTTTTTTTACCTCGTTCCATAACGTAGCTTGATTTTATTTTGTTTTCTATCACTGCTTTTATTTACTTTTTATTTTAATATGCATTTTATAGCTGTTTATTGTTGTCTGTACCTCTGTGGTTTTGTTTAGAACAGGTCGTTCTTGAAAATGAGTTCCTGTGACTTAATGAGACTAACCTGCAGAAATAAAGGTTGAATTTGGGACTGAGGACATGTTCTGAGTTTGGGTTGAACAGACTTTCATCATTTTAAAGATCGAGTACAGCTTCAGATATATGTGTCCACATGTCTCTGTGTCCTCAGTGACCTTTCTCTCTGTATGTCCCAATAGACCTGTCTCTGTTTGTGTCTTCAGTGATCTCCTGGAAGATTTGGAGCGAAGTCCTGATGCGGCGTCCATCGCAGACTGTTTTGTAGAGCGGGTGAGTCCAGAACCAGGAACCAGGGAACAGCACTGAAACCTAAACTGGACTTTTCTCAGTCAGGTCTCAAACTGAAGGTTTGAATCAAAATTCAGTTCTGAATATTTGGACGTGCTTTTCTTGGGAGCTCTCCACTTTTTATTCCTTGTTTTTCCGGCACATTTGGTAGAACATCCCTACCACAGTGTGATGGGCTAATACTGGTGCTAGATGTCCCTCCATAGTATGATTGGTCTGTACTGGTACTGGACGTCCCTTCATGGTCTGAGTCCTTTCTGCACGTATAAACAGCCTCCCTTCCCTCTTTTAATCAATAATAAATCTTAAGTTAAATTTTACACAAGTCCTTACAGCCCATAGACCCATGGTACTGCTGATTGGCCTCTCTGGACCTACACTGTACATAGGGCCCATACATTTTTTTTCCATTTAATCGTTGATAATGTTTCCAAAGAACCTGACTTCAAAATGTCTGAACTGTCCCTTTAAATAAACAGTTGAACTTTATTTGCCTTCGTCATGTTCAAGTTCCATCAGAATATTGGAAATGTATGTTTTCTGAACAAAGAACAAACAAGAGTCTCTGCGGTGAAGCGGACAGTTGGACTGAAAGACAGATTCAGAGGTTGAGGGTTCAAGTCCCACCAGGGTTTGGATCAATGAAGCTGCAGTTTCTTTCTTGACTTTCTGTTTCCCTCTGCTGTTAGGAAATGGTTCTGTTTAAATCATCCTGTTGGTCAGAAAACTAGTTTAGTTCTGTTAATTGTTGAAAAATAAACTTTAATGTTGTGTTTTTGCTCTCAGGGGGTGATTTCTGCAAAGATAAACCAGAACAAAACCGAGTTTAAAGAACCCACAGCAGCAGTTTCAGATCTAGTAGCGTAGAGGTACTTGGGTGTCTCCTGTCTTGCTCAAGGGCATCTCATCCATAAGTAAAGATGTAGCCTGAATGAAGTCATCAGTCCCAGGCAGGGGCAGAGCCAGAGGGGTAACCCGGGTGGTAAGTGCCACCCCTGGCATCTGATTGGTCACCTCAGGTGCCACCTCTACATGATTGACAAGTGGGGTGGGGCAGTTGGAGGAAAAAAGAAGTAAATATCCATCAAGCAGCTGCATTGTCTGGTGTAGAGGGAACCTGTCAGCGTGAACTGGGTGAAGTTTGAACCACTGAGTGAAAATAAAGCAACAATTGTGTGTAATAGTTCTGGTATAGAACCAGTTAATGAAGATTGGGCGACATCTAGAGGCCAGTCTGTAACAAACAAATGGCACGGAGCAACTAGAAAAGTTGGACTGCCACCATTTTAAATGTATGGTTTGACTGGTGTACCGTATGTTGGTGATCGCAGCTCCCACCACACCAGATTTCAGCTCCATAGAATAGTTGAGTTATAGCCATTTGAATTTAACTTGGTGGCCATCTTGGATTTTATTATTTGAATTCAGAATCTGTTGGGCATCGCTCTCAGCAGCCACCACTTTAAATTTCAGCTTAATATCTACAAATGTATGTTTCCTTTTTAGTTTAGGTGGCCATCTTGGATTTGTGAGTTGCCATCAGAGACTATTAGGGATCGCTCTCGGCTACCAATACACCAGGTTTCAGCTCAGTAGCTCTAAAAACGTCTCATTTGTAGCTATTTGAAATTAGCTGTGGTGGCCATCTTTAATCTTTGATTAGCATTCAGAATTTGTTGAAGATTATTTTCAGGATTTTCTAGGCAGGGCACTCGGTTCTGTTGACAGGGCGAGGTGCCCTCCTGGAATAAACGCAGGGAAAACACTGGATTAGCAATTGGCATGTGTTTGGGATCATTCTTATTTACACCACAACAAATTTCAGGTCTATAAGTCTTAAATGGGCTGAATTATAGCTTTTTAAAGTTAGCTGGGGTGGCCATTTTTAATTTTTGGTTAGCATTTAGAATTAGGTAAAAAAAAAAAAGTTTTTGGCTACTTCTACAGAAATTTTCAGCTTTGTCTAAAAATGGCTGAATCACAGCTCTGTGTAAAATTAACATTAGCAGTTAGCATGAAATTGTGACTAGCATTCAGCATGTTTTGGATAATTATTAGTTAAGAACACACAAAATTTCAGCTCAGTATTAAAAAAAAAAAAAGCTGAGTTAACTGTGGTAGCCATCTTGAATTTTTGATTAGCATTCAGAATTTCGTAAAGACCGTTTTCAGCTATTTTAGTTTTGTATGTTTAAAAATTGCTGAATTATAGCCTTTTGTAAAATTAGCATTAGCTTGAAATCATGAATTAGCTTTCAGAATGTCACAGTGATTGTTTTTGGCTGAGTAATGGCTGAAAACAGTGCAATGGTTCATGAAATATTCTGCTAACAGACAAGTTCAGCAATCTGGTTTTTTGGTTTTGTAAAGCTAAACATGGAACTGAAGGCTCCTATATCAGTAATGATTTGTAGAGGGGATCCTCACAGCTCTGATGAAACTAATTTATCACTCAGTTTGTGTAAAAACAACATGCTCGATTACATCGTCACCATCCACTGAAGAACTTCCTGGACTGTAGAGTGGACAGTCCCCAACAAAGAGAACTGTAATGCACAGTTAAGAATGTTTAATTACACAATAAAGATGTGCATCTTGTGATTTTTGACTGTTTTTAAGACATCAATAACACACACACAAACACACACACACACACACACTGTAGACAGACAGATACAGACAGAGTGAAACGGTTTTTATTTTATTTTATTTTTTTTTTGTGCCCCTCTTAAAAACATCTTGGCCACCTGACCTCTGTGCCACCCCTTGTAAAAAAGTCAATCTCCACCTCTGGTCTCAGGAAGCAAAGCTGTGACCTTCTGGGACAAAGTTATAGATTTTTAAAAAGCAGGAATGATCCATGATCAAATTGGTTCTGACTTCGACTCAACAAACTTCCTGTCTGAACAGGAAGTAGTGCCAGTGGTATCAGATTTCACTGAGAGACATCCAGCTGTTTGGTTAGACCTTTCTCCCACCGAAATACACATACCCTGATTTCCATGTAGATTTAACCTGTTTTCTATATTGATTTACCTTGTTCTCTGTGTAAATTGAACCTGTTTTCTGTATAGATCAAACCGGTTTTCACATAGATTTACACCATTTCCACTCTGTATTCTACACTGATTTACCCTGTTTTCTGTATAAATGTATCCCTTTTCCATGTAGCTTTAACCAGTTTTACATACAAAGTAGATTGAACCTGTTTACCATGTAGATTGTGCCTGTTTTACATAGATTTAACTTGTTTTTTATGTAAATTTAACCTGCTTTCCATGTAGATTCACCCAGTTCTTTTATTTTTTAAATTTTTTTGCACAGGTTTTAGCTGTTTTTCTTTTAGATTTGCCCTCATTTTTTTTTACATAGATTTAAACAAGCTAAGATACAATCATATTTATTGGTACCTTCAGCCAGAAACTCCAAACAGAACAAACTAGATTCAGCTTGATTTCTAATTCTGATTCTCTGGATCTGTTTTTCACAGCATTAAACCGAACAAAGTTGCTGAATCCAACCTGAACACTTTTCTTTTTTCAGAGTGAAGCCTTTGACATCTACACCTTGTACTGCATGAACTACCCAAAGTAAGTACAAGTACACATTTTAACATGACCTCCTGAGAGACACTTTGGTCCAAATAAAATGAGTCAGAAACTTTATTGTATTCTCTCCATCACCAACACAAACAAATCCCTTCTATATTTTTTTTTACTTTTTAAAAACGTTTTAAAGTTTATTTTTTTGTTTTTTAAGTTTCATAAAACAGTTTGTATTCACTTTGATATTGTTTTCATTTTTGAGCATGTGATGTGTGAGAGCATCTTGTGATACATGTGTTTTGTGGACTGACCTGGACTAACCGTGTTCCTCGGGGTACACTGTGTGTGGGGGGGGGGGTGCTCTGTGAGTATGGGATTGGGGGCCCGTTGCTACGGGCTGATCAGTCCCTGTACAAGCGTGCGAGAGTTTGGTTCATGTTGCTGGTAAGTCGGACCCCTTCAGGGTGGGAGTTGGACTCCGCCAGTGCTGCCCGTTGTCACTGATCCTGTTCATAACTTTTATGGACAGAATTTCTCGGTGCAGCCAGGGGGTGGCGGGAGTCTGGTTTGGTGGCGTCAGGATTCCATCTCTGCTCTTTGCAGATGATGTGGTCCTGTTGGCGTCATCGTGCCGTGACCTTCAGCTCTCATTTGAGTGGTTTGCAGTTGAGTGTGAAACGGCTGGGATGAGAATCGGCAAATCTGAGGCCGTTGTCCTTTTCTAGTCTTCAGGTCGAGGGTGAGGTTCTGCCTCAAGTGGAGGAGTTCAAGTATCTCTGGGTTTTGTTCACTAGTAATGGAAGAATGGAGTGTGAGATTGACAGATGGATTGGTGCAGCGTCTGCAGTATTGTAGACTCTGTGCCGGTCCACTGTGGTGAGCTGAGCTGTAAGGCAAAGCTCTCTGTTTACCAGCCGGTCTACGTTCCTACTCACCTATGGCCACGAACTCTGGGTAGTGACTGAAAGAAGAAGATCGTGGATACAGGAGGTTGAAATTAGTTTCTTCCACAGGGTAGCTGGACTCTCCCTTAGCGATAGTGTGAGAAGTTCAGTTATCCAGGAGAGGCTCGGAGTAGAACCTCTGCTCCTTCACATCGAGAGGAGCCGGTTGAGGTGGTTCGGACATCTGGTAACAATGCTTCCATGCTCTAGCAGGAACTGCTTTTCCCGCTAGAGCGACTGAAATTGGTCATGTGACTATAATGTGTCGACGTGTCATTAACTCCAAAGGAGACAATCGTCAGCCAGAGTAGGCGGCGTCAGACACTTGAGTAGGCGGTGAAATTGATGTCCACCGCCTGTTATTGAAGAGGCAGCTCTACTACATTCTTTGTTAAATCCTCCTTCAAGACCACCCCAACTCCATTTATCTATCTATCTACACCATGGTAAAACAGCTTAAGCCCTGCTCCAGTTTTGAGAGCCGTACTGTCCTTCAACTTGGTCTCTTGGACACATAAAACATCTACCTTCCTTCTCTGCATCATGACAGCCAACTCTGTCATTGTCTCCACATTTAGAGTTGCCACCCTCAGTCCTAGAATCTTGACTTTCCTCTTCTCCCTCTGTCTCCTGACACGTTTCCCTCCTTTGTAGTCTTCTATAAAATGATCTCATCATCTAAATTAAAGTTCACTTTCAACTATCAGTACCAATAAATAACAATAAGTATCAATAACTGATCAGTTTGATGATTAGCTGAGGTCAAACTGGGACCTGAAACAGGTCATTTAGAACAAACATCTTCTGAGATGTAGCTTAAAAGTTTGGTCGGTTCTCTGCTGCAAGATTCTGGTTCCTCTTGTGGTTGAAGACAATTCCCTGAATGTTTCAGGTTTTTTCAGCTGCAGGAGGAATTCAGGATGAACAGAGTTTGTTTCTGCTGAACACATCTATGCTGCGGTGTCTGCAAAACATATTACTCCTTCTCTGAACTCCGTCCTGCCATTAATCTGAAGGAAAGAGGCTTGTTTCCTCTCCCCTTATCCCCATTGGTACCCTGACCTCCTGCCCTTTGTTTCCTCGCCTGCTCCTTCTCTCCTTCCTCTCTGATCTGTTTTTCTGTCTGTCTGCTGTGAAGGATGTTTGTCTGAGGATGCAGCAGCTGAGTCTCTGTGATCCAGGATCTGCGCCCTGCACCTCCTCCTCAGTGGAGGGGTTCAGACCCGAGGAGTTCCCATCCTCATCCTCCATCTTCTTCTTTGTCTTCCTCTCCTTTTCCTGTTTGTCTGTCATTCAGCAGCTGAAGGCGTCTGTTGTTTCTCCTGCTCCCTTCTAGGTGAACTGATGATGGGATTCATTCTAAAATGTCCTCGCCTCCTTTCCTCCCGCAGCTCAGTGGCGGTTCTGAGGGACTGCATGAAAAATGAAAATCTGGTTCGTTTCTTCCAAGAGCGGCGGACGACTCTGAACCACTCGTTACCTCTGGAGACGTACCTGCTCAAACCGGTGCAGAGGATCCTCAAATACCACCTGCTGCTGCAGGTGAGACGTCACACTACAGGAAGTACCTCACATTGTGCATGTACCTACTGATATTAAAAGACTTATTGGTTCTGTCTGGGGAAATGCATGCTGGGACATTAGGAAAAATAATCAAATAAAAAATATATATTTTTTTAAATGTTTGAGGGTTAAAGGACCAGAGATGTGTCTGTTTGTCCCAACAATCAGCTCAAACACCAGCAGAACCTTCCCAGTTCATCATGTGTTCTGGTTCTGGACACGTGTTGGCGAGCGAGCGTCAGGCCTCACCTGTGCCTCTCACTTCCCAGAAGCTCCTGGTGTGGTCGCATCACGGTGGTTTTCACCTGGTTTGTTGTTTCAGGAGCTTTCCAAGCACCTGGAGAAGAGCGAGCCTGGGTACGAAGTGGTGGAGGACGCCATCATCACCATGACGGCTGTGGCGTGGTACATCAACGACATGAAGAGGAAGCAGGAGCACGCCGTGCGGCTGCAGGTAAACAGCTGGTCACACCTGGAACATCCAGCCGCTTCAAAGGTGAAACATTCAGACAGAAAAAAAATAATAATCCAGAGTTACATCATCACCCAGCTGGGAAGCTGATCTGCTCAGGCTCTTTGTGTCACTGAGACTTAATCTGGTGGATTAAAAATAAAACAGGTTAACAGATATTTCCTTAATTTATTTTTTTATTCTGGGATTATACATCTGATTATCAACTGTAGACAACAGCTGCCTTCAAAGAGCCTCGTTAAACTGTAAATGTGTGATGTAAATTTGGACCAGAAGGGTTCAGTGTTAAGGTCAGAGGTCAGGGTTTAGAATTAAGGTCAGAGGTCAGGGTATAGAATTAAGGTCAGAGGTCAGGGTACGGTCAGAGGTTCAGCTCAGGGGTCAAGGTTTAGATTTAAGGTCGGAGGTCTGAGTTTATTGGCTTTAAAACCACAGATTAAATTCCAGCAACTAATATTTTTAAGTGTCTTCATACATTATTAATTATAGTTTTATTCATTTCTAAAACTTTTGTATAAAGATTAAACAGCTGTTATTTAGATTTAAAAATCTTAAATATGTTTTTATCTCCTGATGAGTTTTTTGTAAGGTAGGCAGGAAACAACTCCTGCTTTGGTTGACCTTTGACCTGTCCCCACCTCTCCGCAGGAAATTGAGTCCCTGCTGATGAACTGGAGCGGGCCGAACCTCAGCGGCTTCGGAGAGCTGGTTCTGGAGGGTTCCTTTAAGGTGCACAGAGTGAAGAAAGAGCGTGCGTTCTTCCTGTTTGATAAGATGCTGCTGATCGCCAAGAAGAGGCTGGATCAGTTCGTCTACAGCACACATATTTTTGTAGGCATCTCCCGTATGTGTGAGCTATGTATGGAGGTCCTGTTTCCTACTATAACTTCCTGTGAGCTGCACTAAATGGATTTCCTGTTTCCTGTTATAACTTCCTGTGAGCTGCACTAAATAGATTTCCTGTTTCTTGCTATGATTTTCTATGAGCTTGTCTGTATGGATTTCCTGTTATAACTTCCTGTGAGCTGCACTAAATGGAGTTCCTGTTTCCTGTTATAAGTTCCTGTGAGCTGCACTTCCTGTTTCCTGCTATGATTTTCTATGAGCTTGTCTGTACGGATTTCCTGTTTCCTGTTATAAATTCCTGTGAGCTGCACTAAATGGATTTCCTGTTTCCTATTATAACTTCCCGTGAGCTGCACTACCGGTAAATGGATTTCCTGTTTCCTATTATAACTTCCCGTGAGCTGCACTACCGGTAAATGGGTTTCCTGTTTCCTGCAAAGATTTTCTATGAGCTTGTCTGTATGGATTTCCTGTTTCCTGTTATAAGTTCCTGTGAGCTGCATGAAATGGAGTTCCTGTTTCTTGCTATGACTTCCTTTGAGCTGCTGTGTGTGGATGTCCTGTTTCCTGTTATAACTTCCTGTGAGCTGCTCTAAATGGAGTTCCCATTTCCTTTTAATTTTTACCTACTTCCTGTGAGCTGCTCTGTATGGAGTTCCTGTTTCCTGGTTGTTTTTAACAACTTCCAGTGAGCTGCCCTGTATAGAGATCCTGTTTCCCATGCTGTGTGTCTTTTGGCCGCAGTGCTGTAACCTACAGCTGGTGGAGAACCTGAAGGATCCGCTCTGCTTTCGAGTGTCAGATCAGACGATTCCTAAGCAGCAGCAACACGTCGTCCAGGTGAGTCACCTCAGCTTCAGTTTCCTGAAGTGTTTAATAGAAGCTACCTGACTTGTCTGTTGTCTCCTGAAGACATTTCTCCTTTCATCCAAAAGGCTTCTGTAGTTCTGATCATCGGCTGGTTTCAGGTCTGTAAGTGACCGTTACAGCGATCACAGTATCGGGCCTGATGAGTCTCATGAGCCTCTAACCCACCTGTCCATCCTGTGAGTCGTCATGCGACCCAATGGGCTGGAACTAAAGACTGAGAAATATACCGAGACCTTGGATGGGAACCCAGAAGTTGAAGCCAGAACAGGACCATCTTTACTGTTGTCTGATTTCAGTACAAGTTTTAAGCCCCGCCCCCTCCATGTAAACAAACAGGACATTGGTCACCTCAGATCAGGTTTCAGGTGTAACTGTATATTTCACTTTGCTGCTGTTTGTTCAAATATTCATATTTCTAACTCATTTAGAAGTAGTTACTTCATGGTTTGAATCATGAGACACCCTGACTGTGTGCAATGTAGTGGGCGGGGCTTAAGTGGCACTAGTGCAAAAACTAGTTCCAAAAATCCAACATGGCAGCTCTTGCTGGCTGCAGGTCCCAGCAAAGAGAGAAGATGGAGGTTCTGGGCGAGAGAAATGTCTTCAAGAAACAAAACAAGAAGTTCACTTGTCTTCTATTAAACCATGCAGGACTGACATTTTCTGGGTGAATGAACACCAGTGTCTGAGCTGATGTTTGGTTCTTGTTCCAACCTGCTGCAGACCAAGAACCAGGAGGAGAAGAGGCTGTGGGTGCACTACCTGAAGAGACTCATCATAGAAAACCATCCGGCTTCACTCCCGCAGAAGGTAAGGAGGGCCAGAGGAAGGTCAGGGAGGATAAACCTGTAGATGAAATAAAAATCAAACTAAATTAGTTTCATCGTTGGTAACTGACCTGGAATGAGAGGGAAGGCTCGTTAGTTCTTGGGGTAGAACTAACAGTAATGTTAGGGTCAGTTCTTTCTTGAACCCCCCCCAGCAGTTCTTTATTGATCTTTGCTGCCACCTGCTGGTCAGGAGAAGAACCATAAGCATGCTGCTGCCTCCTCTGATTTACAAGGTCCTAAAGAGATAACTGGAACTAAAAAGACTAAGAAATATTAAAACACCCTTAATACTATTATTATTATTATTATCCTGTTTGTTAATAAGAAAAACGAAAGATGTCAAACAGTTCCCACTTCAGTTGTTCTTACTGAGAAAATTGTTTATTCTTTATTCTTAAAGCCACAGTTCTGAAATCTTCCTGGAATCTTCTCAGGAGCATCAGTTAACATCTCTGGTGTCAAACTGTTTATTTTCTGCTTCAAGAGTTTTTAATAAATCATAAATAATTGATAATCCATCTGCCAGTGTTTTATACAGAGCTGCTTCAGTACCAGAGGGTGTCATAAAACATTTAGCTGCTCTGATTTTCACCAACAAACAGATCTACAAAGATTCTATGGCTGCATTAACTTCTTCAAACTAAATCTTTATTTCTCTTTTTGCAAACGTGAGGTGAGTCGGAGCTGCTGACCAGATGAGCTGAAGAGTTTTTGTCCCGACATTTTGCCTGGTGTGAATTTTTAATTTACTCAATGGAACCTCATAAACATCAAACTAATAAGAGTCTGCAGGGTCCACATGATGGGTCAGGTTCCTGGGTCCACATGATGGGTCAGGTTCCTGGGTCTACATGATGAGTCAGGATCCTGGGTCCACATGATGGGTCAGGATCCAGGGTCCACATGATGAGTCAGGATCATGGGTCCACATGATGGGTCAGGATCCTGGGTCCACATGATGAGTCAGGATCCTGGGTCCACATGATGGATGTCATCCCATTGATTGAAAACACCTGGCTCTAATTTCACCTTTAAATTAATGCTAATCCTAGAGGTTCCCATATTTTAATAGAATGTTTTGTCTCATTTGTTTAACTGGGTTCTTTATCTTCTTTTAGAACTTGTGTGAAAATCTGATGATGTTTTAGGTCAAGTTGATATAGAAATATAAACAATTATTAAGGCTTCACAAACTTTCAAGCACCGCTGTAACCTGTGTGAACATGGCAGATAAAGACTCTTGATGCTGGTGAACAGCTGTGGGGGGGACTCACTGAGCAGTCCGGTCCGATCCACCTCCACCCCAAAGTTTGCTTTTCTCTTTTCCTCTTAGCTCCAGCAGGTTAACGACACGTTTAAATGTTATTTTTCTCAGCTTCAAAGCCGATCGTGTGAAATCAGCATAAGCTCTGTGCGACAGAGGCTCTTCCTCTTAGTACGTAGCTGTAGAGCTGCAGGGGAAGCTGCTGTGCTACATGGTCCTAGTGCCTGACATGTTACACAAACCATTCAAAATGGTGGAGACATCTTCAGTAATACTTTATTCAGACAACATCATCAAAGTTTTTTTTTGTAATATGATCCAGTTTCAGCTGGATGAGACACCTGCTGACCCGTTACATTCCCGCTCACTTTTCTTTAATGTTCTGTCTTCCAGGCGAGACAAGTCCTCGGAGATAACTTCTGTCAGAGTGAGTTTACAGCCTGACCCTTGAAGCAGAAGTTTAGGCTGATTTCATGACATGACATCACTTCCTGTGTTTCAGCTCCTCAGTTCGAGCAGGACAACCTGACGAAGTTGTGCGCTTCACCGCGACTAGACGACGCTCACGGTTCTCACCGAGGGAGACGGCAGTCAGGTCAGGGTCAGTCATCTTTAAACTTTGAGCGCCAATTTGTTGCGAACTAAATCAAAACCTCGGGTTCTTGTCACATTTTCAGCAGCTGATTCAGGTTCTTACAGCTGAGGAACAACAAACCTCCAACATGGAGGGTTTGTCCAGTTCTCGTGTTCTTTCTGGTGCAAATGGTAAAATAAATAAAGCGCAGACTGGTTCTGTTCTGTTCTGTGTTTCTCAGGGTCACACTACCTGACATTAAAGAAGGACTTTGGTTCTGACTCTCTGAAGGTCTTTCAGAGGTTTTCTTTGGACTTTGGCTGCTTTTATTTTCAAGACAGTCAGTCCCAAAGAGCTGTTAAAGTGCTGGTCCTGGTTTACATTTTCACTTGAATCAAGCTGAGGAAACTGAACCAGAGGAGGACAGAAGAACTTATAGGTCTAAATACTCTCTTCAGCAGATGACCAGGATCTGGAAGTCATTGGAAGATTTGTTCCTGTTTCCTGAAGACCTGAACCAGGACCTGAGAGGTTCTTAATTCTTCCTTTGAAAATGTTCAAGAACTGAAACAGAGTGCAATGAAAACAACAAAAGACCTTCAGATAGTGTGAGAACTGTAGATCTAAACCACTTTGATAGATTCCCAGAAAGTCTGGATCCTTGGAAAGAAAACTGAATCAAGACTTTAGACCAGCATGAGGTGTCTGGTTTACAATGAGTTTTAACTTGAAGAAATATAAATCGTCTGTAACTGTAAATGATTGATTCATGTTTTTAACGAACAAACGCTAAATGTTTTGTTGGTTCTGCTGCTTGTCTAAACAGAACCTTCAGAACTGCTGCTTTACACACCTGAGAAGTCCAGGAAGAGTCTGCCCCTGCTGTTAGAGGGAAACCTGCCATACAGACGGTCCAGGAGACAGTCAGGTACTCCTTCAGTCAGCACTCAGGGTCCAAACAACCCAGACAGGTTCTCTGTCAGTCAGCACTCATGAGAACTCAGATATCCAGCACCTTCTTCAGGTCCAGATTGACTTTTTTACAGCTACTAATGTGAATGCTCAAAGTCAGTATTTTGCAATGCTTAGAGGTTTATATTGCATCATGCCTATTTCTGGTTTGTTGAAATACACTCAGTCTAAACTTAGACTGTTTCATTTGCTCACGTCTCTGTCCCTTCATGACATGTTCACGTCCCCTGTTCCCTGTCTCACTCTGTCCCTCCTGCCATTGTTTCTGCCCCTCATGCCATAGTTTCTGTTCCCCTGCTTTGCGTTGCTTATCACCCATTCCTTGAGCTCAAGCCTGCTCCTTTCACTCCATGCCATGCCTCCCTTGTTTTCTCCACTGCAATCAGCATTCATTCCATGCACCTGTTCACCTGCCTTCTTAAGCTCCATGTCCACAGTCCTCTGCAAGGCTCAGTCTTAGGACCCACCCTCTTTACAATCTACATAGGTAACATAGGTCAGAGCATCAGCTTACATTTCTATGCTGATGATACAGTTGTTTACTGTTGAGCTAAAACAGTTGTTAAGGCTCTCCAGCTTTTGCAATCCGCTTTCGACATCATCCGGTCAGATTTGTTCCATCTCAAACTTGTCCTAAATGCCGATGGAACCAAAGGGATGCTGTTTACAAACAGGAAGTCGGTCCCAGCAGTTCTTCCTCTGATTTTATCCTTTTATCCTACAAATATTTGGGTATCTTGGTTGACACACATCTCACTTTTAAGCTCTATATTCAAAAACCTAGTAAAGGAACTGAAAGTTAAACTGGGTTTCTTTTTCAGAAACAGATCCTGTCTAACTCTGAATGCTAGGAAACGACTAATAACTGTGACTTTCCTTCCCTCCATTGATTACGGTGACATTATTTACATGAACGCTCCTACAAGAACCCTGCAGATGTTGGACACTGTCGATCACGGTGCACTAAGATTCATAACTGGCTGTAACTACCGTACTCATCACTGCACCCTGTATTAACTGGTTAACTGGTCACCATTAACTTCACACAAACTCTCTCACTGGTACATTTTCATCTTTAAATCACTTCTTGGTCTGCCGCCTTCATACATCTCCTCCTACATGTCTCTGCGTGAGTGCAGCTACAGCGTGCGCTCTCAGGACATTATTACCTGCAGTGTTCCCTCAGTGTGAACTGAACTTGCCAAAAGGGCCTTCTCCTACTCCGCTCCTGTTTCCTGGAATATCTTGAAAAAAGATCTGAAGCTCTTAAACTTGACCTCTCTAGGTGGCTTCAAACATCTGATAAGTTCCTGAAAAGAACCAATGCAGACATGTTCCTGTTTTTAGTTTTCTACATCGTCTTATAATCTAGCTGTTTTTTCATTATGTTTCTTTCTCCTTTTAATTATCATTTTGTTTTCAATTGTAAAAAAAGAAAAAAATAAATTTTTATGAATCATTTATGAATGTCCATTGTCATCACTCTTTGTTAAAATCCAGGTCTCTCTTGTAAATGAATCCTCGTGGCTCAATGGGATTAACCTGTTTAAATAAAGGTTGAATGAATGAATGAATGAAGCATGTGGGGCCCAAATTTACACATGTTCATTAGTAACTGTAAAAAAAGTCAAAAGTCATTAGTTATTGGAACAAGTATAGTACACATAAGTAACTGTAAACTTCAGTGTTTTTAAGTGTGAAGGTCAGATGATTTAAGGTCAAGTTGTTATCAGGAGCTGAGATAGAAACCCTTGCTGCAGATCCTGGAATCATCCAAAAATACCAAATGATTCATGGCCTTGACTTCACGTGATTAAATATTGACGATATTTAAGCTACAAAATTAACTTTCTTATCCATTTGACTTTCAGCTGTTGTTGATTTATGATGAGAAAATGTTTTTGTGTTTCTCTTCCAGCTCCTGCTAAAGACATTGAGGCAGCGTTTCATCCCCCCGGTGAGTAAAGACATATAAATTCTAAAAACCAACAGACTGCACATGTTTCTGACACAGTAAAGGTATTTTTAAATGTTTAATTTGCTTTTGCCAAACCATTCAAACTATGTTTGGCTTTTTTATTATATGATGAGTGAACACAGAACACTTCAAGTGTAACAGTACAGCCGCAATCAGGTCACTGTGTGGTTCACACTGTACCTCAGGATGTGAGTCATTGGTATGGGGGCCTCAGATTAAGATGGAGGCATGGGGTTCTCACCTCAGGATGTGAGTCATGGTGTGGTTCTATAGGTATAGAGGTCACGGTGCAGTTTTTACGTCAGTTTGAGGGTCCAGGTGTGTGTTGTACTTTGGTTAAAAGGTTACAGCGTGGTTCATACCTCAGGATGTGGGTCACATTGTGTTTTCTATCTTGGTATGAGAGTCTTTGTGCGGTTCACCAAAGTTCAGGCTCAACAATCCAGGTATAAAATCCAACAATGTTCAGTCAGGTCATCTGGATGGTTTCTTTTTTTTTTTTTTTGCTGAGACGTTTCGTCCTTCATCCAAAGGACTTCCTCAATCTGAGAAGCCACCAAACCAAACTTATTCCCAACAAACAGCATACTCCATAGTGGAAAAAACAGTTTGCTAGTGCTAAGATGGCCTCTGGGGCCCGCCCTCTCCTCTGGGGCCCGGCTTCTCCCTCGTCAACTCCTCATTGTGTAGTTCATACTTTGGTACAGGGATCATGGCGTGGTTTGTACCTTAGTTTGAGGGTTGCGGTGGGGTTCGTACCTCAGGGATGTGAGTTGCAGAGGGATTCCTACATTGGTATGAGGTTGCGGTTTGGTTTGTACCTCAAAATAAGAGGCGCTGCATGGTTTGCACCTATGAAGATCATTGTGCGGTTCATATATCAGGAAGTGTGTCACAGTGGGGTATGCACCTTGTTATGGGGGTCATGGTGCAGTTTGTTCCTCAAGATTTGGGTCATGGTGGGTTAAACCTTGGTCTGAGTGTCACAGTGCAGTGTGTATGTTGTGCAAGACTCACTGTTGGATAAGTATCTTAGTGCGAGGGATACTTTAGCCAGGTACTCTGCAGGTGGACTCCAAATTGTCAGACTAACTTTTTTGATAACTGAATGTGTGTTTTGATGTTTTTATTGTTACAAGCTGTCAGCTTCAGGTCAGACAGCAACATGATGATGCTAACCTCTCTGTTTTCCTGCCTCTCTGGCGTCCACCCACTGGTTCCTGAACTCCAACACCTGAAAGCTTTGAAGGTAACCTGTTTCACTTCTGTCAATCATTTGGGAGATAAAATCATGTGATTTCTCCACCTGCATTTAGATTTATTATCACCTCATTCATCCGAGCCTTTTCATAAACGAGTCAGTGAATCAGCCATGTACAACTTGAAGAACAAGACATTCATGCCCCCAGACTGGTTTCTAACATTTTCTAAATATTTATGTGTACGTGTCAAAGCATTATTGGTAAAACATGAATAAATAAATAAATCTCTGCAGCAGCAGCGTCATTACACAAACATTAAATGGTTATTATTATTACTGTTCAGCAGTTATTCAGCAGATGTTCAGCAGTTATTCAGCAGATGTTCAGCAGTTATTTAGTATGTATTAGGCAGGTGTTCAGCAGTTATTCAGCACGTATTCAGCAGTTATTCAGCAGGTGTTCAGCAGTTATTTAGCATGTATTAGGTAGGTGTTCAGCAGTTATTCAGCAGGTGTTCAGCAGTTATTTAGCATGTATTAGGCAGGTGTTCAGCAGTTATTCAGCAGGTATT